TGGCAAAATGAAGACACAAAATAGTGATATACATGTTTATTATTTTGGACTATTTTCTTGAATTTGTGTTTGGTTTAGGTTTCTTAATAATTGCTGCCTCTCATTATTCATTGCTTCTTTGTTGTGAATGTGTATATACTATATATATAATTGGCCTTCCGTGAGAAAGCGCCTAATATATATATACACTGTACACACAAATTGAGAAAGAACACAAGAGAGAACGGAGATGATTGAGAGAATCAAGTGTATGTTTGATATCTAGAAGAATAAGTGATAAAGTTCACAATACCTAGGGATTTATTTAAATCAAATGAAAAAAAAGGGTTAAATACAAATTGTAGCCCCGTACTATCAATAGTGTCGTATATACCCATGTACTATAAAATGACTCCTGCCGTTAAGCCATGTTAAAGAATCAGTCTCTTTTCAAAGTTGACCGACCATTGATCTAGATGTTGGATAATTTTGGACGAAAATATCCATGTGCTTCTGTATGAAACATGTGCCTCTTTCCTTTTCTCTTGTACTTAATTTACTTACAATTTTTTTTTCATGTTTCTTCCTTAATTGTTTTTCCATGACCTAAAAATTTCACTCAAATTTCTAGGAATTTTTATTTATTTATAATTTCCTTTAAAAAATTATGAAATTTGCAATTTGTTCCCAACCTAAAAATTTCATCCAAAATTTATGAATTTCTTTTATTCTGGATAATATTTTTAAATTTACGAAATTTTATAATTTTATTTTCAGCCAAAAAAAATTCGATTTAAAATGCTCCCCGTAGTTCTAATTCTCAAATCGTGCATTTTATCTTTTCCGTCTAAACACTAGATGACATATTTTTCTGAACCACTGGTCAATGCAACTGGAGTGTTAAATAATAAAGTAAAAAAATGGTCAAACAATAAAGTCAAAAAATGTTTATATATACTATATAAATGTAATGGTAAAAAGATATCCACACTACATAAACTATCGTTATTAAATATTTGGGGATTAACCATTAAATTGAATTGATCACTTTGTCGTATCTTGTAGTTAATAGAGTAAATGCGACTACGTTGATATTACATGAAAGCAATTTGTATTTAACCCATAAATCTAGAATGCAACATATTATCGACATAGGATTATTATAATCTTTATTTTGTGCGTATTTTCCGAAAAATAATGATAAGTGAAAACAATATTATAATATTAGCCCAAACATGCACTGAAAACTACTTATTAATTATTAAACGATTGACTGCGATTGACATTTATGATTTAAGATTACATTTATTTAAAAATATTTGTCAACATGACTTTTGATTTGCACATTGTGAACAACATAGTAATAATAAATTAATCTATCCAATCCACACACGAAATTATTATTTTAATATAAAAAGAAATAAAATAAAATAAAATAATAAAAAAGATGATGTGAATATGAATCATCATATGATGAAAGAGGGCCGGTATTATTAGCCACCCAACCAAAGGTATCGAATTTTCCCCCTTTTCACAAAGGAAAAAAGAAACCAACAGGGTGTAAGCCATTTACTATCTCTCTAGTAACAGCAAGAGAGAGAGAGAGAGAGAGAGAATCAAGGGTTCCGAATTATACGATTGATAGAACTGAAGCAAGTGTGGAAATGGCGACACTTCAGACATGGAGGAAAGCGTACGGCGCTCTTAAAGACCAGACTAAAGTCGGCCTTGCCCATGTCAATTCCGATTTCAAGGTTTTTCTACTTTTTTTTTTTTTTTTTAATTTAATCGAACTGCTGATTTTATATGAGAGGGTTTGGGGTTGGTGTTTGCCGAAAATAGTAGAATCAAGGGAAACAGTTTATAACTACGGCGATCGTGTGCGAGTGAGGGCTTTCGTGTGATTGAATACTGAAAATAGAGAAATGTGATTTTTTAATTTTTTCAGTTTTTAATTTTTTTAATTTTTTAATAATATGATGTTTGTTTTGGATGGCTAAAAAAAGGATGTGGATGTGGCGATCGTGAAGGCTACTAATCATGTGGAGTGCCCACCCAAAGAGAGACACATCAGAAGTGAGTTTTTTAGATCCGTTAATTTGTGGTTTGATGCCATGTATGTGTAGTTTCTTCGGTTTTCTGCGTGTGTGTTTTGGTGGATATATGATCCACTGGTTTAGCCATTGTTGATAAAGTATATGGAGTTCTTGAAACAAATTGGTTTTTGGGTTCTTTAACGGGAGGGCAAAAATGTCGAAATTTAGTTTTCGTTTTTCGTTTTATGGTGATTTTTGAAATTTCGTTATAGATATGTTCGGTTTTGGTTTCTTGGAGATTCATGTGAATATTCGGGTTTGGTGTTTCGGAATTAGTAGAAATTTCACCTTCTTGGTTGTGTTCTAAAGCATGCAGAAAGAAAATGAGAATTTGCATTTGGGGTTTTGTTTTTAAAGGGGGAGATGAGAAATTAACCGCGTCTCACTCTAGGGATTTGGTTGTGATTTAGTAAAAGATGAGTTCACTTGCAATCATGTTATTAGTGTTTGGATGCTTCTTGCAGAAATTTTGGTTGCCACATCATCGATTCGACCTCGCGCTGATGTTCAGTACTGCATACATGCACTTGCTAGAAGATTGGCAAAGACACACAACTGGACGGTATAGACTTTCTTCATTCTTAGATTTTGTCTAAGGACTCCATTTGTATATACTTTCCTCCATTTGAGCATCAACTTACATCCTCTTCGTATACTTTTCAACAGGTTGCACTGAAAACATTGGTAGTTATTCATAGAACACTGAGAGAAGGTGATCCAACATTTAGGGAGGAACTCGTGAATTTCCAACAAAGAGGGCGATTTCTCCAAATGTCCAATTTCAAGGACGATTCTAGCCCTATCGGCAAGTGTCTACTGTTGTGTATTTTTTAATTTTTTTGTCTTTTGAATTTTGATCGCCTTATCTTGAGTTAGGCTCAAATTATTTGTACTCTATTTTATCCAGCTTGGGATTGCTCTGCGTGGGTAAGAACGTATGCACTCTTTTTGGAAGAAAGACTTGAATGCTTTAGGGTTCTTAAGTATGACATTGAAGCCGAACGTCTTCCTAGACCTGCACAAGCCCAAGACAAGGTGTGTTTTAGTTTTATAAATAGTATCTTTAACACTCTCTCAAATTTCTCCCTCTACCCTTTTGTGGATGTCTGAAAATAAGGCTCTGTTTCTGAACAGATAATTTTTCCGAAACCCACATTTTCACTTGAATAATGACATGAGCCCATAATAGTAGAATAATCCTAAAATTATAGGATTTTCAGTTTTACTACTTAAATCCTAATCTAAGCAAAATACTTCAAGATTGGGAGTAAAATCCTCTAAATCTGTGATTTTAGATTTGGATGAGAATTGGGCTATGATTTTATGATTTTTTCTTCAAAAAGGTGAAGCTCTAGTAAAACCAAGGTTGTAAAAATCGGTAATCGGGTCCGAGTCGGTCGGACACCGACTCACGATTTATCGCTGCGGCGGTGATTAATCGGTGATAAATCGGAAATAAATCGGTTTTTAAAATTTAATATAATATATTTCTAAATATTATTTATAAATACTCCAAACATATGTAAAAAGATATTTAAACATAGTTATATCTCCATCATGTATATATCCTAATAACATAATTAAAGTTTAATAATCATAAGATCATAATACATAAATATCCTTATAAAATATAAATAAAAAAACAATTTTTTTGAATTTACATTTATTCTTGAACATTCGTGGCATACATCATTAGTTCTTTAACAATAACAATTAACATAAACAAAATAAGGCATAAACTCATATTTTCTTTTATTAAAATCCAACGTTTATATTGAATTATAAAATTAAAATTAAAAAAAAAAAAAAAAAAAAAAATAACCGATTTTTAACCGATTTTTGACCGATTGTTTGCCACCGAGTTTGACCCGCCTTAAAGGTTTGACCGCCTCAGACCGCCTCGGACCGACTCAGACCGCCTCGGACCGACTCAGACCGCCTAAAACCGCCTCACAGGCAAAAAACCGATTTTTCAAACCTTTACACTAAAATCGTAAAGGTTTTGGACCGCCTCGACCGATTTTTAGAACACTGAGTAAAACCAACCATTTTCTTTGAGGAAGACTAAATCCTAGCCAATAGTCAACAACATCCAATAGCACATTTTTTTTATGTTCAGAATTTTTTACGAGTACCGGAACATGCTTTATCTATGGTGGGAAATGTTTTATAAATGGGGAGAGACATAAAGCATTTGCCGTGATATTTAAATTTAAAAGATTTTATCCATTTAAACATTTAACATTTTACAACAATTTTGACTCCTTGTGAACCCACTATCTCCCACTCACTTATTTAAAGGGAAAAAGTGTACTATAACCCTCACACTTCTTATTCTCGTTGAAGCTTTGTGCCAAAAGTCAAACTAGAATAAAAGAGATGTGTCTTAGTCTTAGATATCGGTTTAAACATGTCAACTAAATATTTTAACTTGAAGATATTTGGATACAGTACCTGAGGTTTGGTCTGTAGCATGAAACTGACCATTAATGACGGTTTATAAAAAAAATTGTTCAAAGTTTTGAGTGACTTTTATCTGTGAAAATATTAATGTCACGGAAAAAAAAGGTTAGGTTTTAATATGACTTACAAAGTTGACGCATGTTTTCGTATAATTTGTGATCAGGGTTACAGTAAAACTAGAGACTTGGACAGTGAAGAACTTCTAGACCACTTGCCTGCTTTGCAGCAGCTGCTATACCGTCTTATTGGATGTCGGGTACTCTCATAATCTCTACGGCCATCATTCTTTTTTGGTTATAACCATTTTCAAGTTGTGTTTCTTTTCCACCATGTGTCATATGTGAAATTACCTTTTTAACCGACCTGTATTGACTTACAGCCTGAAGGAGCAGCTATGGGCAATTATGTAATTCAGTATGCACTCGCCTTGGTTTGTGCTCTCTCTCTGTGTGTGTGTGTGTGTGTGTGTGTGTGTGTGTGTGTGTGTGTGTGCGTGTTTTGAATGATGAACGAGAACTTTGTTTTTTATTTATTATTCTTAAATGTTTGATTTCACTTTTCATGTTCGATGTTTGTGATTTTCAGGTGCTGAAAGAGAGCTTTAAAATATACTGTGCCATAAATGATGGGATAATCAATCTTGTTGACAAGGTGAATGAATTATGATTCCAGGTCCCATATATTTTTCTTAATTGATGGCTTCGATTTTGCTCACAAAATTGGTTAACCTGAATTTGCATTTCAGTTTTTTGAAATGGCAAGACACGAAGCAATTAAATCCCTCGATATATACAAAAGAGCTGGTCAGCAGGTAGTTTCTTGCTCTGCAGAACTAAAATACGAGTTATCTTTTCCATCTGTCATTTTTAAGTTAAATTACAATGAACCTGGAATTGCTCTCGATTGTGTCATAATTGTTTTTTTTAATCCAGGCCACTAGTCTGTCCGATTTTTATGAAATTTGCAAAGGTCTTGAACTTGCTAGAAATTTTCAATTCCCTGTGTTGAGAGAGGTAAGCAGTTGTCGAGGATTGGTGTTTTTTTTCTTCTTATTAATTATTAATTATTTTACTAGTTTTTCTGATTTTTCTATGTGTTATGATTGTGTAGCCACCACAATCATTTCTCGTCACAATGGAAGAGTATATAAAAGAAGCACCGAGGATGGTTTCGGTACCAAGTGTCACCTTGGTCAGTGCATATATATATATATATATATATATATATATATATATATATATATATATATATATATATATATATATATATATATATATATATATATATATATATATATATATATATATATATATATATATATATATATATATATATATATATATATATATATATATATATATATATATATATATATATATATATAAATAAAAATATTTATAAATATTAATATTAATATAAAAAAAAAAATATATTTTTTTTTTATAAAAAAAAAAAAA